TGCCTCATGTGCCTTTTCATGAGAGGCCTTGCTTTGCTCAGTTAAATTCAGGTAATTGCATTAATAAAACATTTTAAAGAGCATCAGCAAAGGAGAAGGAGGTGCCACTATTCTGAAGTAAAGGTTTCCATAATGAGCTGAGAATTAGTGTATGATAGTGCTATGCTTACACAGTCCCTCATATATTTTGGGTTCTGATTGCACCCTGAAGAACCCAGCTAGAGCTGTGTCCCTACTGTGCAAAGCACTGTGCAAGAAGACATAAAGTCAGCAAGATACAAAAACCTTCACTGAAGGATTACAGGTGATTTGTGGACAAAACAAAGCAATGAACTTAAGATATAGTGCAGGGGACAGGGGAAAGAAAAATAAAGAAGAACTTCAGTAATGAAATCCTGACTCTTTTCAAGTCAGCAAAAACTTTGCTCTGGAAGGAAAAATTTCATCTTTCCTCGTTTTTATTTGTTTGTTTGTTTTTGTTTCTTGTTGTTTTCTTGTTTGTTTTTTGGGGGGTTGTTTTTTCTGGTGTGGAGGAAAAGGGCAAGGTTTGTTTTCCCACCTCTCCACACTCGTGCTGATGCAAGGGACGAATATTTGGGCACCACCTAGGGACTTTTTCATTGAGGATAGTTTTGGGAGGAGCGAAGGTGGAAGGGGAGAGGACAAGGAAATGGAGAAGTAATTGGGAAGAGCAGGCAAATAAAGGCAGCAGCAGAGGATAAGCACTGGCAGAGCCAATGGCCAGAAGAAATTGCAGCTCTGTGCCCAGCAGAAAGGAAGACATCCACTGAAGAGCACCAAAAAAATGTTCAGAGTGTTTTCCAAGCTCAGGTTCACAACTGCAGGTTGAAGCTTGCTCTTCTCACTTGAACATCATCAGGTAGGCCAAAACCTCTTATGCTCCCACCCAAAGGATAACTCACCCAGTGTTCTGCCAGGCTAACACAGATATTTTAATGTCTGTGCTTAGGAAATTTCTGCCACTGCCTTGGAGGAGAACAGCATCATGCTCACCCTCCTGCAGGGACAGGGAGCAGTCAGCCTGTCAGTCTAAAATGGAGAGAATATTTCAAGATGTGAGCTTGACAATCCCTTGTGAACTGACCATTTATCTCCCAGCAATGACATTTTGCTACATATCTAGAGGTCTGCAGAAGGTTATTCTGGATGTGCTTCTGCTGGGTGATGAGAGACCTAGGAAGTTCAAAGCTGATAATGGACTTTCCAAACTGACAACCCAAACCTCTTCCAGTGGCTCCTCACAGTGGCTACAAATACACTGTAACCACACCGCAATTCCATTTCTCAAAGGTGAGTGCTTTTCTGTCAGTAAGTCATGCAAGAGAGCAAAAACTAATCAGCACTTAGGGACACTGTTTCCTCAGTGACATTTGCAGGATTTCTCCATCAGCTGCCAATGAACATCCGTCACACTGAAGGAACACTGTCTCCTTAACTTTACATCAGCTGCTGGCTGGGGACACTCATTTAAAACACAGCCATGTGTGCTTACAATAACCAGGAGCAATCTCCATTTGCTTGTTTTCTGCCTCTGAGAAGAAAGGGGAGGCTTAACAACCTCCCTGAAAGATCTTTGCCCCTACAGGCGAGCTCAGAGCACTCGGGACTCAGACCTTAACCTCCACGACTGAAATCAAAGCAAGGATGATGCAAGGAGAGAAAAAGCAGCTGCCAAGTGACCCCCAGAGTCCCTGCCAGATCCCTCTGGAGAAAACAGCCTGAGATTTCCAGAATCCTTCACACCTTCCCTGCAGCCACCACAGCTGCCTTCACCCCTGCTCTGAGAGGGTGAGAGAGACCACATTCTAGTCCAACAAAGAGAAAAGCACAAAACAAGATGGGAAAGAGAGATGGATCCCAGTGAAAACCACCAGACCTGCCCTCTCTCCTGCTCCACAGGTATCAGAATCCTGACCACCAGGCATCAATCTGTATTTTAGACACATTTGAATGAGATCATGGTTAACATTAGAGAGACTGTGCTGGCCTTTTCTGCAGCCTCAGCCAAAGCTGGGGGTAAATCCCACAGAAACCAGGGAATGAGGCAGGCTCTGTACAGGCAGCTGGGGCCCCAAACCCACCAACATCTCCCAAGACCCATAAGGGATGAAGATGCTATGAAGATGCTGCATGGGGTTACTAAGCCATCTGTCAAAGACACACGATTTTACAAAAGGATACAAGAAAAGCTCTCAATGGGCTTGGAGTTATATTTGAACTTCAGCATTTCAGTTGTAGTACATGTTAATGATTGAGGGGCACAAGGATAAATATTTGGACAGCTGTCTAAGCTACATGGCTTGTTGGCATGTTTGTATTTTGTGCTTATGACTGTTATGACTCAAAAAATCAGATGTACAAGATCTGTTCACTAGAAGAAAGAAATATTCAAGAAATGGGCCTTTGTAACTACTCTTTTACCCTGAGAGCATCCCAGTTACTGCCAGTGGTAAGGAAAAAGATTAAATCACATTTGGATTTCTCACCCCAAACCTGAGGAAAAAATCTAGAAACAATACAGGAAAATTCACCCAACTGGAAACCTCTCATAGATATCGATATCCTAGGAAAAAAAAAAAATTCTGAGAGAAAAAAATTAATCCCAATTTGTGAAAGATCAGGCAGCTGAAATTTCTACAAGATGAGTCAGTCCTGGCACACACACACAGACACACACTTGCAAAAGATTTTTAAATAGAGGCTAATTTCAGCTGAAACTCAGCAGCGACAAGCACTTCTATAGATGACGATTTGGAATCTACACACCAGCAAAAGTAAATCAAGTGGGTGAAAGGGTTCTGAGACTACATAAAACAGTGCCTCTGTTTCCACTGAAAGCAGCCTGGGTTTGAGTCAGAACAGCCTCTCATCTTTGACTTCAGTGTGTGTGTGTAATGGATGTGAGAAAGTTTGCAGACCTTATAAATTCAACAGGATGAGGGAAGAGCAGAGCTCAGAGCCTGTAAAACCTATCAGCTGCTCAGGATTTCATCTGCAGAGATAGCAGGTAAAATCTTTATTCTGTTCAAATAAACAACAAAATGCTTGGATGCCTCATAAAGTCAAGACTTCAGAGTAGCAGCTTCCTGAATCTCGAAGTTCTGTCTTTCCTATAGAATTTATAAAGTCATAGTTAACAGGTGCTTCTTTTCTCCCCACGAAACAGTGATCTTCCATTGTCTGAGTACTCTGAGGAAAAAAGCAATCCACGGTTTATTCTAGGCAAACGCAGAGATTTCCAAAACATTGTTTTCTGCCCTATTCTGTAACATATTAAGCTTTCAGCAAAGCATAGGTCTAGGTAAAAAGTTTGACTGTCAGCTAAATTAAGTGTGAAGGATCTCACTTTAGTCCTGGAGAGAAGGTTACTGTGTGTCAGAGTGGCATGACACCGTCTGCTTTGTGCTCCTCATAGGGTGCTGGAACTTTGTTTTCCACACAACACCCCAACAATTTGAATACAGCAAGCAATGAACCAGATGGCTCCTAACTCTCTCCAACAGCCTTTCTCTCCTGTATCCTGTTTTCCTAGAGTTTAAGCTGTTATCAGGATGAAATTATTTCTTTCAGGAAAAGACGTTACTACTTTTCCACTTAATTTACATGCAAGAGATAGATCTTGTCATTAAAATATCTCCCCCACTGAAATCTCTTCAAAGAGTCCTTACAAATTTCTGCTTCCTAAAAACGAGACCTTCTACCTCTGACATGAAAACCTGATCACCTAGGTGAGGTATCTCACCACCTGACAACACAGCAGTCAAGATGGGACCACTGAAGTGAGATGATGGGATGAACCTGGGCCAGGCCTTCCCAGGGCAAGAAGGAATTGTTATCTGAGCAGCTCACAAGATCAGGGGACTTTCACATCCCTCAGCAAAGCAGAGCAGGTTGATCAGGGTGACCCTCAAGGAGATGCTCCTCATACATTTGCTTTACCTTGTGTTTGTGACATTAAACTGTCTTGCCCAGACTCAATGACTGCAGTTTCAGGTGGACAGAAAAAGATAAACATACACCACACATGACAGAAGAAAGGAACTACTAGCTGCTACCTTCCCTGAAAATGACAATTTCTGCGAAAAAGGGAATTGCCATCTATGTTACTGAGAACTGGTGAAGTACACAGACCTATATGAAGTTATTTTCCTTGCAGGAAAGACAATAATCTGTCCAAGTGTATAATAAGATCAGGCACACAGCCATGAAGAGTTACAGGTTGCTGTTAATAATAGAGGTTCAACTCTTAAAGCCACGTGACCTGGAAGAACACACTTGTGTACCTACAGCTTTTACAGCCCCTGATCTTCATTGTGAAATGCTGTTTTCCTTAGCAGAATTGAAAGCTTGTGATCAAACTCATTAGAATGAGAACTGCAGGTTGTGCAGTGATCTTGGAAAATACTGTCTTTGTTTTTAAGACGTATTTCAGGATTTGTTTATGACATTCCTTACATGAACTCAACCACTACAATGAAACCCCACATTTCTCATTGCATGAGGTGCTCATCTGGCTAGAAGTTCATCTTCTCCATTCTAGACAGCCTTATCACAGCTGAAATGAAAAAATTAAGAGTTTACCATCTCCTTATTTGCATGCTCATACAGTTACGAGTAACAACTCTCAGCACCATGCCATCAATTTTTTGCTATCCAAGTTGCAAAAGGGGCTCTTAAAAAGCACTCAGTACTGACTTACTCACCCTTGGTAATCCAGCATGATCCATGCTATGAGCAAAAGAGGCAGATGCAGAGGGCTGGCAATTCTCACAGGGGATTTGACTGACCACTGGCCCTCGGCGAGTGCCCAAAAAGGGGAGGTGACAGCTTTTACATGGGCCAGACCTGCATCACAGCTAAAAATGACTTCAGCATTCATCGACGGCAGTAAGCAAATACTGAGTGCCTTTGAGAGCTCCCATCAAAAATGCAATTCCTAAAGCATGCTAATATGAAATACTGAAGAAAGGCTTCCATACCTTAAATTCCTCCAAGATTTTGTAATTTTTCCCATGATATTCACAAAAGTTTTTCACTTCCTTGCATTCTGGACAGCATCCGTTGTGTTCCACTTTTGTGCACTTTGGGTGGATTTTAGGGCATTCTGGTTGATCACAAACAGGTCCATCCTCAGTACAGACACAGGGACAGTTGGAATGTCCTGGGAAAAAACGTTCTCCCAGTTTGTACACAAAGCCACTGTCATCCACACAGCCCTTCCCCCGGTAATCATCAAAGATCAGATTGTCATTACTGGAGGCCTGGTCCCCCTCATCAGCAGGGTAATCTTCATGATTGATGGCAGCTGGAGTGACCAAACCAGGGAGCACAAACAGAAGTATCCAGGCTTCATGGATATGAAGAGCCATCCCCCTCCTTGGCTTCTCCATGGGACCTCAAAGCCAAATACAAACAGTTGCTTCCATAGGGAGACCAGTGTTGTGGTCTGAAAATAAACAGTTTCAAATGAGAAAAAACCCAAAATTCAAGGAGTATTGACTTATAAAAGTCATTGTTTCAACCAGCACTAAAGAATAAATCCGAGTTTTTAAACTGCACAGATAACTACCACTGTTTTATTTGAATTAAACCTCTTCTTAATTACTGGTAAAGAGAACACAGCATGTGAAATACTTAAATTAGACACACATGCCTGGAAGCATATGACCATAAAATATCTCCAAAGGAATGGTGGGTCACAGAATCATGTAATTTTTACTTTCCTCATTTTTGCAGCTGAGCTTTTGGACGCACCAGAAATTAAACCAGCTGCCTGAAATCTCATGGTGGTGGGCAGCTCAGAGGGTTTTGAAGCCAAGTTTAAGAATGGTCTAAACCTCCTGTGGTGGCCCTTGGTGCAACGTGTGGAGCACAGCCCACTTCATTAAACCGAGGTGGGAGACCTGAGCTGAAAAAGGAGTTAAGCACAATCTGTTGTCAGATCTGTGTCTGATCTGAAAGATGGTGCTGGGGTAAACTTGGGCTGCGAGAGGTGGAGTAGTACAGAATCTTATTTACAGCATTTCTGACGAGGGACTTCCTGGGCTACCACCAAAGCCCAGCCGGCAGCAGGTACGTTCAACCCTGGCAGAAGCAAAGATGCAATTCACCTTCTCCATTATTCAGCATTTCAGTAATTCCCAGCAAAAAAAAACCCGTGGAGTGCAGGACGTTAAATGCCTGCATAACGCACGGAGCCACTGAAATGTGTCGGCCTGATTAAGCTGGAGCCTTTCTAAAACTTCGGGAGCGATGCAGCACGGCCCGACCCCCGGCGAGCTGTGCTGAAGTGGTGGAGTGAGGACGGACCCCGGCAGGCAGCCGGGCTTTGACTGACCCCGGCAGAGCCGGCGCCAGGCGAAGGCTCCGTGCCGGTGTCTTGGGAGCACTTCTGGCTGCCCACAGTGCCACATCACTGCCACCAACCTGCCCACACACCAGCCAGCAGCCAGTGCAAGCCGGGCAGCAAACTGCTTTCTGACCCCTCTTAAACAAAACCGGGCAAAGTATTCCAGGAAACTTTTACATGAGATGAAATATCAGCGTTACGTGGACTGCAGAACTACGGAGGCAGATGCTGGCACAAACAAACAAACAAAAAAATGGACTGTTGGGGTGTGTGTGTCATCCCTTCTTTTCCTCCATTCCCAGAGCATGCACACACAGGCACAAGGAGTCTACACAAACATGCACTAACCTACACACACAGGGAGTATTCCCCTCCACCCCTCGGGGAGACGTTTTTATATATTGGCATTTTTGGTGGACTGCAGATGTTCAGCAATTAATTCTCCCTTAATTGAAGCAAAAAAAAGCAGCGGCAGGAGGAGAAAGCTTTAATCCCAGAGAAGCAGCTAAAGGATCCTGTTGACCAAGCAGTTTTTCCGAAGCCACAACAGAGGGAGACACCGGATATTACACAAGATTTATCAAATTCGAAAAGATATCTTCTTAATTGAAGTACTAGCTGTGTTTCCATCACAAGGACTATGCACCCTCTTGTTACTCCTATCAGCAATATCTACTCTAACATGCTGTTTGGAAATCCAGCGATTCATGCAGATACGGCTGCTTTACATATCTACAGAGCAGAGAATCTCCCCACCTAACGCTACAGGTAGGTTGCAACACTGCAGATTTGGGGGCATTTAGGGGGAGAAAAAAAGCAGCAAATAAAGTAATTAATATCTGAGGAAATATAAAACAATTGTGAGAATCTGCCGGAGTTTGATGAGGAAGCTCTCAAAACAATCTGTGTGTATATACATACATGTATATAAAAGTTCTCCCCAGATCATAAATAAGAGCACTACATTTTGCTACAGCAGCTGAGATGTCCCACAGCAACTCACAGGCACTCGGCTCGATCCTGGAAATCGGACAGACTGCAGACGTCTTGCACGGACAGATTTCAACAAGTAAACAAATGCTGCTTGGCTCAGAATTAGTTTGCAGCTTGAACTTTTTCATCATTTCTCATGCTGAGAGAGGCCAGGATCGTAGGTAAGTCTCTGAAACGTTATCCATCCGCCTTCCCTCACCCCAAGTGAGTAATTCACACCTACCTGATCAGGCTGGATGTGAAAGCTGAGAGGGGTCACAGGCCAACATGGACTGAAAGGTTAGAAACAGATTAGTGAAAGCAGTTCCTCCTAATCACGTTTTCGGTGTTGACTCACGGACAATCCCTTTTCCTCCACCTCCCATGGCAAAACGGGAGCGCGGCAGCCCAGCAACCACAACATGAGAACTGAGCTTTAACCCGGCGCCGACGATTCAGAGGGAGCAGGATTCGGGCGGTCCGGAGGCTGCGATGCCGCGGAGAAACCCCGGTGCCATCAGCAGAGTCATCGCGGCGAACTTGGGCTGCATCTCCTCAGGTCTCGGGGCGGGCGGGGGAGAGAAAACAACCCATCCCTGTCCCCTCCCTGTGCCCGGCGGATCTCCTGCGGCTCCAGCTTCGCCTCGGCGGGGGAAGGGGGGGAGCGATGGCGGCTTAGGCGGGAGGCAGGCGGGGGAGGGCGGGCGCAGGAGCCCCGCGCCCGGCGGGCGGGCAGCCCCCGCGCCCCTCCGGGGACTCCCCGGCCCGGGCGCCGGCCATGCCCGCGCCGCGCAGCTCCGCGCTCCCTGCCTGCCCTTGTTACGATTAATTCTGCTTTTAGGGGGGTGGTGGGAAAAAAAAGAAAAAAAAAAAGAAAGAAAAAAAAAAGAAGAAGAGAGAAGAGCCGGGGGGCAAAACCCAAAAAATAATGCAGGGGCGGGGCGCTCCCGCCTCGGCCGCTGCTCCGCCTGCCGCTGGTTGGGGCTACGGCTTTCCTCAGACCTGCCGGTCCCCTCAGATCAACCGGCTCTCCTCAGCCCGGTTCCCCTCAGACCCACCGGCTGGAGCTCTCCTCAGCCCTGTTCCCCTCAGATTCACTAGCTGGGGCTCCCCTCAGCCCAGCTCCTCTCGGCCCCTCTCTCCCCTCAGATCCACCGGTTCGGACTCCCCTCAGCCTGGTTCTCCTCAGCCCGATTCCCCTCAGATCCACCGGCTGGAGCTTCCCTCAGCCCAGCTCCTCTCGGCCCCTCTCCCCCTCAGATCCACCGGCTCCCCTCAGATCCACTGGCTGGAGCTCTTCTCAGCCCGGTTCCTCTCAGATCCACCGGCTGGAACTTCCCTCAGCCCGGTTCCCTCAGATCCACTGGCTGGAGCTCTCCTCAGCCCGGTTCCCCTCAGCCCGGCTCCCCTCAGATCCAACGGCTGGAGCTCTCCTCAGCCCGGTTCCCCTCAGCCCGGCTCCCCTTAGCCCGGTTCTCTCAGATCCACCGGCTGGAGCTCCCCTCAGCCCGGTTCCCCTCGGATACGCGGGCTGGAGCTTCCCTCAGCCCCTCCGCGCTCTCCGGCTCCGGCTCATGGCCGCTGCCCCAGCAGTGTCCCGGAAAACATTCCCCATAGCTGCATTGTGGAAACTTCGCCTCGTCTTCCCACAGGCGGCTGCGCCGGGGAAGGGGCGCCCCGGCTCCTGTGGCTCGTGCTGCGCTACATTAAAAATCAATCTCCTTGCAATTCGGCTGCGTTGGCATTAGGCGTCATTGTAAAGCTGTTTCTCCAGAAACCACCAAAAGAGAGGTTCTTGGTGCTGAGGAAAACACGGTGACAGCAGAAAGAGGAAGAAATTGAGAGGTTTATTTGGATAAAATGCCAAATAATGCTGCGTTTGGGCGAATATTCCCTGAATAGCGCAAATACGAGCTATGAAGCTGTAAGCCTGCAGTGCTATTATCAGACCGCTCTTGGGGAAGGCAATGAGGGCCAGGTGTGTGACTGCACCCAGGGCCAGGTGTGTGACTGCACGCAGCTCCAGGTGTGTGACTGCACCCAGGTCCAGGTGTGTCACTGTGCCCAGGGCCAGGTGTGTCACTGTGCCCAGGTCCAGATGCAAACCCTGCCATCGGCGCCCGCTGACAGCAGGTAATCCTGGCTGTGGAAGCGCACACAGCGCACCTCGACCCCAGGGCCACGCAGGATGGAGAGCTGGCCCACGGCCAGGCACAGCACCTTCACAGAGCCCTCGCTGCTCGCCAGAGCCACCAGGCCACCTGAAACACACAGCAAAGGCATCGAGGTTGGCAAAGGCTACACAAGAGAGAAGCGCTGTAAGTTTTGAGATGGTGCTTTCCTGTTTTCTGAGATAAATGTTCATGTTCTCCTCAAAAGGAGCCTGGCTACTTTGACAGAATCACAGAATCTGCTGAGTTGGAAGAGACCCACAAGGATCATGGAGTCCAACTTCTGGCCCTGCACAGGACACTGCAAGGGTCACACTATGTGTCCAAGAGTTTGTCCAAACCTTTCTTGAGCTCTGTCAGGTTTGGTGCTGTGATCATTCCCTGGGAAGCCTGTGCTAGTGCCCAACCACCTCCTGGAGAAAGAACCTTTTCCTAATATCCAACCTAAACCTCCCCTGGCACAGCTTCAGGCCATTCTCTCAGGTCCTGTCACTGGTCCCCGCAGAGCAGAGATCAGTGTCTGCCCCTCCACTCCCCCCCACAAGGAAGTTGCAAACCCTGGTGAGTCCCCTCTCAGTGTCCTCCAGCTGAACAGACCAAGTGCCCTCAGTCAGCTTCCCCTCAAGGCCCTTCACACTCTTTGTTGCCCTTTAGATGCTCTCTGGTAGCTTAATAATTTTTTTTATGTTACAGTGACCAAGACTGCACACAATACTCAAGGTGGGACTTCCCTAGTGCAGACCAGAGTGGGACAATCACTTATATTTGGATATAATTATTCAGGGACAGATTCTGATGCACAGACTGAGCACCAGAGGGCTAGATGCTCTCCTAACACCTGGAGGTATCAACATCAGACCATGTTTTTGACAATGATATTCTTGTACTGCTCTAAGACATGAGGATGTAAGTTTTCAGCTGAATTTCCAGAAGGTCAGGCATCTAACTGAACTGAGTGCTTGCTCCCTTATATCCTTAGGGAAAAAATGATAATTAAATCCTTAGTATAGAACAGGATTTAAGAGTAGAAAAAATAAAAGAAAACCTAAAAAAGGATATAAGGAGTTCTTAGTTTCCATGTGCTTTTTTTGCAAATCAAATGGACTCAGTTTTCAACACTTTTAAGGAAGCAGAATGTGTTTATATGTTTATGTGCTTATAAGTTTATCTTCCTCCTTAAATAAAAGCAGAGGTAATAGCTGGTAAGTGATATGTTTATAGCACCTCTTACTTACCCAGCCTCCAGATAAAGGTTCTTTAGAAATTAACCACAATAATCATGAGTTTCACGTACAAAAAAAGAAAAAAAGAAAAAAAAAAGAAAAATCAATACATTAATTTCAAAGCTGATGTGGCCCTAACAACAATGGGATCACTGTACTGTCAGTCGTGATCTTGGTCAAACACCTTTTTCTGTTTGGAGCAAGTTCAATGCACTCTCCAAGTGATTACTGCTCTTCTTATGTATCAAGATTTTCTCTCTGAAAGCAAAGACATCACCAGCAGAAGAATAATTAATATTGACACTGACAAAGTCAGTCTGGCACCAAGGTCATAATTTTTGGGAAGATTATGAAAAACAGGAGATATTTTTCTGTTTTTAGTAACTCAGGTTATTCACCAAATATCCAATGGGAACATACTGCCCAACAGACATGAGCACGGAGGAATTTATCCCAATTTTAACACTTTAGGGCCGTGGGTGTGCCTATGTGATGTACAGTTTATCCAGGGACTATATCGTTCCTCCATTCAAACTAGGTCATAACAATGATGTTCTCTATTCTGCTCATGAAGATCTGATGGCTTCATTTCACCATTTATCAAAAGAAACACGTAGCCTAAACCAGCTTGCAAATGCACTGAGAATATTTAACTACAACCCATGCTTGGTGTGGTCATGGGTATTTGTGCAAGAAAGGCAACTAGGAAGTAGAGCTAACCATGATAAATATGCCCTATTTGCAAACCTTTATAACTACCCAGTTTCTTCATCTAGAACAAAGCCTGACACAGCAAATATCTGTAGGATGGATTGGAGTGTCCAAAGCAGCAGATGTGAATATTTATTATAAACTCTCCTCCTGCAAGTCTTTGCTGACAGAAGCATTGCATATGGATTGCACTTGCAGCGAGACTCTCCAGGCAATCTCTGGATGACTTCTCCAGGAGCCAAACAAATGCCATTTTGCCTGCAGCTCTGACACCACAACAGCTGGGCAGGGGGTTAATGTCACTTCCAGCTTCTCAAAGCCACTAATGAACCCAGTTGTTACAGAGAGGGACAGGCAGGACAAAAGGTTTGGACAGCTGCAGTCCACTTCGAGAAAGTCAGGGCAGGACAGAGTGACAACTGAGTCAAAACGTGGAAATGAGACAAAGCTTCAGCTCATTCATTCCCTGGGTTGAGCAGGGCAGGGACAGACCCCAACCCTGCGTTTTTCTGCATGCTTTGCTAGGTAAGTCACATGCCCGAAGCAAAACCATAGCACTCATCCTGTCACCCCATGCCAGTATTCCGACAATCCTGGGAAATGACAAAGCCAAGAGGAAAATAGAGGGCATCAGTAAAAACCAGCCAGCTAGGAGGTGCAGTAGTACCCTGCACTGCCTCCATCTCTAGCACTCACTGGGGAAAGCATGGAGGTGCACTTGGCAGCCCTGCTGAAGAATGACTCATGTCACAGGAATTTTTCCCTGAGTTGGGATGTGTTGCTATCCCTGACTGTGAGTACAGCCACTTGCTGGCTCAGTAGCAGCAGGATGCACAGGCAGATGCATGTGAGGGGGGAATGCACAAAATGACAACATCTCATTTCTGTCACCCTTTATGTCAACGCTGATCTACGAGCCCATAACAATTTGCTCATTATAATGTAAATTTACTCCCTCCCTCCTTCCGAAAGGAGACGTTTCATTTTGGGAAGAGGGAACAAATTGTGTTTTATTGCTCTTTCAAAATTTTCTCCAATTAAGAAAGCAAACAAAAACTACCACATAATTGTGATGCAAAGCTGTATTTTAATGAAGGATACTAACTTGTCACTAACAAAGGCACTTTGATATAACACTGGAGGAAGATAAAAGCCTGAAGAGAGGTTGTTCTTCATACCTTTGACCCAACTGTCAGATGGGGCTGGTCTATGCAAACTCACTGAACTGAGCAGTTAGGCTGATTTGCATTGAAATGAAGACATTCTGCCTAGAAGATGCAAAGTCTCCACGACTCTGAGCTCTAGATCTCACAGCCCCTGGATCTCCAGCTCACAAGGCTTCCAGAACCTGTTCTGGATCTGCTGGTGCACGTGGCAACATGAGGAGATAAATATATTTAAAAAAAATTAAAAAATAAAAAAAAAATTGCTCTGGCTGGCCCCACACCAATCCTGAGCTCAGCCTTCTTCCTCAACCTGGCAGACAAGGAGTGATGACAAAGCCACCAC